TTTTAGGCCTATTTCGATCATTTGTAATTTCTGCAAAGTATTTGAAAGTGTTCTACATGAAAAAATTTCGCATCATGTTAATCCCATGATTTCATCACTCCAACATGGTTTTATGAAAGGTCGTTCAACAATTTCAAATCTGACATGTATTACTCAGTACATTGCTGAAGGTATTGATAATCTCAAACAGACTGATGTGATATACATGGACTTCTCTAAAGCGTTTGACAGGCTTGACCACGGTATTCTATTGAATAAACTAGGCACTTTCGGGCTTTCGACATCGCTCATCAAACTTTTCGAATCGTATTTGATAGGCAGAAAGCAACGCGTTTTTAGCCGTGGGTATACATCAATTGAATACTGTGCTTCATCTGGAGTGCCCCAAGGTTCCATACTTGGTCCTCTGCTCTTTACAATGTTCATAAATGATATAACCGATGTCATTGATGTTGAAGGTTTATTGTTCGCAGATGACTTTAAGATTTTTCATTATGTTTCCAGCATCGGTGACTGTGAACGCATTGCAAGAAACTTGCGTAACGTTGTAAATTGGTGTGATTTCAACAAATTAAACCTGAACATCTCCAAATGTCATGTAATGTCGTTCTCCACAAAATATAATTCGATTAATTTCAAGTATGAAATTGGTGATAATATTTTGGAAAGACCCAATACATTTATTGACCTTGGCGTTACCTTTGATTCTCAACTAACTTTCGTGCCACATATCAATGCTACAGTAACCGCTGCCTGTAGAGTATATGGTTTCATTGTTCGTGTTGGAAAGGAATTTAGCAATATATTAACTCTGAAAACATTGTATTGTGCTTTCGTAAGATCTAAACTCGAATACGGATCAACAGTCTGGAATCCTGGTTATCAGTTACACATTGATCAACTTGAGTCTATACAACGAAAGTTCCTGAAACTTTTGAGCTTCAGAATTGATGGAATATATCCACCTATAGGCGTACAACATGAAAAACTTACAAGTCGACATAATGTGGACACACTCAGTACGCGAAGGAAATGCCATGCAATAATATTCTTGCATAAAATAATCAACAATAAGGTGAAATTAATATAAAAGTGTTTGAATTTAGTGCAGTGATTCTCAGGCACAGTGACGCGAGATTCTGGAATTGTGTGCTGCCAATTGTGTTCCGCCATTTAACGGATGCATGCAGTGAAATACAGCACAGTACATTACAGTGAAGGTTACTTTTCGAGAATGCATTTTGCTGCTTGGGTATGCATCGAAAGGAAATATTGAAAGTTCAAAATGAATTGATGTTAATGCAAACAGGAAATTAGACGTTGTCTAGTTCTGTCGCGTGATTGAATTGAAAGAAGAGATGAAGGTATTTTTTTCAACAATGTTTTTGCAGATATGTTACATGACAAAACTTGAAATTTTTGCTATTTTTGATAACATAAATACTGAAATGCAGGGACCGAAAGAAAATATTCCAACCTTCTTCGATTGATTATCGCGATTTCAAAAACCAAACTGCTTCATGGAAGAAGAGAGCACAAAAAGGTAATATTTGAAAAACTAAAAAAATATTCTATATCCGTTATAAAAGAGTTGTATGAAATAATTCATGAAACGGTTGCTGTATTTCAACAATACTAGAGCAAACAATTGTTCAATATTTTTCCAAATTGGAAATAAAAAGTTTTGATTGGGTTCAAAACCCATTCGTGATGAGAGACAAGTTGGTGGATGAATAATGTGACCATAGGTCGCGCTTTGGGCGAACATCCCGCTTTCAGTTAGTCTTTCCTGCTGTCCCTAGCTGAGTGGATATACTCCCGCTTTTGCGAACAGACCAAATGAAAATTATAGATGTACTGTTTTCGAGTTCAATTTTATTTGAATTTGAACGAATTACCTGGCAGACAGCTGATTTGAATGTGAAGAGCACCAAAACGCGATCAAAACTGCTACTGATTGTCTTCCCGTTGAGTTCGAATGCATCAAAATGGAAATATACGCATTCTTTCTCACATCAACAGCGTTCAAATGAAAAGCTTTTTGTGTATCGACAAACGCCCGAAAATTTGGAAGAAATCGTCCACAAATCCTGACAGAGCCAGCTCAAAATTGTGGTTATATTTTCAACAACAAAATTATGGTTACCCTTCCTGAAGCTGCATTGAAAATCGAAGGCCACTACTGGAGCTTCCGTAGAAGTTCAACTTCGGTAAAAAAAGGGTCACCTTATGTATAAATTAAATTAAAAGAAAAGGAAGAACTGATTCGGTGTGAAATAACCGAGATTCAATTCCAAACCATTCACAAAATCAAGGTATTGATCCTGGATTAATCTTTGACTCGATTATTCGTCAATATCATGAAAGTCAAATGTGAACTTCATAAGAAGTAACTGCAATTTCACAAATTTCTGCATCTTATTTGTACGAGTTGAGGTTTTCTGCTTCAACCACGACGAAAACGAAAAAATTATCCAGACTTTTGAATCTGGTTTGCGATTCCCAAAAGAACATTTTCTCTACTTTGTGATGCTATTCTAAACTATATTCTATTCAAAATTATTATCGTTTGCTATTTCAACAAAATATATCTTATTCATATAACTAATATTTATCATTATATATATTTTCATCAGGATATATACAGTGAGTGTGTGCCAAGTTTTCAAATTATTAAACTTGTGCCTTGACTCAATAAAAATTGGAATTTTGAAGCTATTGCATAGGTTTTATTGTGGGCTTTGAGAGCGGCGCCCGTGTCAAGAAATTCCGTAACGCAAATGATACCTAACACCTCCCACTTCGCCTATCATGTAGCTCGACCGATTGTTCGCTTAACGTGTATGTAAACCTACGGTACGAATATACAGGCGCTCATTTGTAGAAGATATTGGTGCGTGTTTATGCAAACTTAGAAATGGCCTACAAATAGTCATAGCAATTCACATTTCTCCGAATTCAAAATTGGACGAGGTAGAGCATTTTATTCATCGTACTGGAGTACACTGAACAAGGGCCGAAAATACTTGGTACAAATGGTAATAAATTTTTACACTTACCTTGGCTGGCGATTTCAACATCCAACTTCGCTGATAAAAAATCACAGCGCCTGACAACTTTTCTTCTCAGAAAAATTGAATTTGAAAATGAATAATGAGCCACAAGAATCCATAATGAAATATGGGACCACGATTGACGTGGTATTTTCCAGATATTTAGAGGATATCAAGTCTCAAACTTATGCTCTCATTTCAGTTACCATAGACCTATAGTTTCAATGATAAAAATTCCCGAATAACCTACATGTATTGTAAGATAATACAAACATTTTGAACGATATAAACTTCTCATTTATTCAATAAAAAAAATTTTTCTCTTATCGGTCACCACGCTCAAAAAGTGTAACTTGAATGAATATCAAAGAAAGATTTTTGAATTGATATCGAAGAAAAAAATACTACATAATTAAAGAATAAATAAATAATTATAATTGCATATGTTGATGAAAAATGCTATGCAATATCTTTACCGTAACAGTCCCCGAGTGCCACACATTTAATTTTTCGTTTTTTATTTGATTCAGTTGACTTACAATTTAACGCCGGTTACGAAGGGCCAATGGTATTGTGATCAATGTACATTACCCAACAACTATCTATCATTATTAAATTTATTACTTGAGTCATAGACAAACACATACATAATAAAACAATTGTTAAACTGATATACACATATATTGAAAATAATACTGCATGACGTACGTTTCGATGAGATTCACATTTTTCAAATCCTACGTGCAGACTAATGACAATTTCTCGAATACATACAATATATTAACTTAAATACAGAGAAAACAGGTAGATAACAGGTGGAAGGGATGAATTCATATTGAACTACTACATAGTAAATTAAGTAATTTTGAAAATATTGAGAAGGGGGCTTGAGGTATGATCGATTTGGCTGTTCAAAAGGTTGCCAGAGTATTTGTATTTATTAATTTGAAGTGAATCTAACAAATTAAGCTTCATTCCCTTGTTTGCGGTATTCAAAATTTCAAAATCGGAATTGAATATATGATTTTCGTTAATCAAATGATTCGCATAATGAGAATCTGTCTTCTGATTATCAAAGCTACGTTTATGTTCCGAAATTCTTATTTGAAAACTTCTGAACGTTCTACCAATATGAAACTTATCACATCTACCACAGTTAATTTTATATACACCGGATTTCTTATTTTTGTTGAATTTAGATTTGTTATTTTTGATATGTTTTCCTAAGTTATTTTCAGTACGGTAAGCAATGTGGATGTTATACTTAAAAAGAAGAGATTCGAGTTTTTCACTGGATTCACCGATGTATGTAAGACTGTTATAGTTGATATTGTTTTTGACTAGGGGATAAACCAAACCAATCGCCTTTTTGAAGTTTTTTTTTAATATCATATTATCTATTATTTCAGGATTATAATTATTATTCACGGCTATTTGCTTGAATAAATTTTTCTCGGTGTTGAAATTGGTTCTAAAAAGAGGAATATTTACTAATCGATGTATCAAACTATTGAAAGCTGTCATTTTGTGAAATGAATGCATAGAAGTATTATGTATAATACCAATTAATAAATACAAATATTTTGGCAACGTTTTGAACAGCCAAATCGATCATACCTCAAGCCCTCTTCTTAATCTTTTAAAAATTACTTAATTTTCTATATAGTAGTTCAGTATGAATTCATCCCTTCCACCTGTTATCTATCTGTTTTCTCTGTATTCAAATTTATATATTGCATGTATTCGAGAAATTGTAATTAGTCTGCACGTAGCATTTGAAAAAGGCGAATCTCATCGAAACGTACGTCATGCAGTATTATTTTTAATATATGTGTAAATCAGTTTAACAATTGTTTTATTATGTTTATCGGCCTTAAGTATCTACTAAGATACTTAAGATACTATTAAGTATCGGCCTCATCAATTATTAACAAACACATACACCCATGCCTTCACCGGAGCTCGAACCGGATCCAACCGCACCATAGTCGGGTGTTTTCCCGATTAAACCATGAAAGGGACCAACAGTTGAGAATAATTCCATGTTTGAAATACATTTCAATCAAGGTACTGTCATTAACATTCAATTGAAGAGTTCAAATATTTTGATTTTTCGTATCGAAAATACGGTAGTTCTGCTACTTTTTCACTTCAAGATTCAATTCATATTGTTTTGAATTGAGTAGATTCCTGCGAAGTTATCGGAATTTAGTTCTTCTAGTCATTGTCTCCTCTTCCAATTTCAAAAGAACATTTCACCTTCAATAGAAACTTAAGTTTACAAGTATGAAAAAAAAACGTGATTGTTCAGCTGCTACAATTTATTTGAAAGCCTCTAAATGCCGTTTCGTCAGAATAACGTTTTGTTTTGTAGATGAAACGATTGATCAGAAAAGAGGGGAAACGATGTAAACGGAATTCCACGTGAAATCCCAGGTGCCTCAGTCACATGTTCTTTTCAATGCACCCCAAATCAAGTCATTCTTATATTTCGCTGAGTTCTGTTCATTTCTTTTATTTACAATTGGGATAGCAAAAATATTGTGAAGTTATATCGACTTATTTCGTAGACGATATGGCTCAAATAATAGTTGGAGTTGACTACTAATATTTTCTCTGACTCAATATAATAGGTAAGATATTGACGTTTTTGCATTGTTCAAACTGATTATTGAAAAATTTTAATCAATTTCTTGGACAACTCCAATTTTATAGAGTTTGACAAAATACTTGACATCTATTTCAGAAAACTCACTTATTATCAAGAGCTTATGATAACAAATTCGTAGAAATACAGATATTCATAATAATGATCACAAAAGTTCATTACTGAAAATGAGATTATGAAAACAAATTTGAAGTCCAAGTAATTCCCTCACTTTATTTTCGCATTCAATATTTAGAAATTACAAAATTTCGTACATGTTTTGCAATAATGTAAACCTGTTCTTATTACCTACTGATATTTTTCAATGAAAATCGTGGGGTCCAGTTTTTTCCCTCTGTTCAGGACATGTATCATATTTGGTATATTCATCTTCATATAGTAATTATCCATGAAATAATGGTCTAAACTTCTGTTTTCTAAACTATTATTCGTTCTAAATTCTGAAGCTTCTTTGAGTTTTCATTCGATAGGAACTCAGTGGAAATTCAGAATTCTTCCTATCGATTCCTAATTTGATTTTAGCAGTAGTATGTCGAAACAATTTTTCATTTCAAGACAGGTGAAAAATTTGTTCAAAAAAACTATATATATTCATATATATATATATATATATATATTATATATATATATATATATATATATATAATGTTTTCAGCAATAACAGAAAATTGAATATTTCGAAAATTTTTTTGATTTTAATTTTTATTTTCATATTCAAAATTAAAAATACATTCAAAATAAAATATCTTAAATAGGAAATAAATCAATTTTAAGAAATATATATATATATATATATATATATATATATATATATATATATATATATATATATATATATATATTTATATATATTTATAATTGAATATTTCCAGAGAAAATCTCGTTCATGTCGTAATGGGGTACTTTAGCTTGATGCTCTCAGTTTACATATACAACCAGCAAGAATTAGTACCTAATATGAATTCTCAGATTCTTTGTGTGGAGTTGAGCATTTGCTGAAAATGTTGGACTATTCCACTTTTCTGCAAGTTCATATTTCATGGGAATATAGAATTAAGTACTTTACTCTGTTTTCAATTGATGTAGCTCGCTCATTCAGATTTTCCGTTTGCATTTCATTAATTGAGAAAGTCCCAGTGCACATTTCTCGTTCGACAACAACTCTGTATGCTCAGGTGCCTTTTCAGATTGCAGGTTCGGATGAAAATATCAATTAGTTTGTTTATTTGATTTATAGTGGGTAATCGATGAGGATATTCTACTTGTTTTAACGGAAGAGCGGTGTTTTACACAAGTATTGGATTTTTGAGAGAGATGTTTGAGAAAAATAAATGATTATATCAAGAGTTATTCATTATATCAGTTGGTGGTAACCAACTGGTGGTATATCAGTTGGTTTTCTTCGATAGAGGGGAGCCCACGTGAATAGTTCACGAGCTAATGTACTCCTCATTCGGATAAAGCATCGGGGGGCGTATAAGAAGTCATCGATTCTTGGTTGATTGATTGAATAAGACTGATGATTATTAATAATGATGAAGCAATATGATTGATATGATGAAGACTGATGATTATTAATAATATGAAGCAGTATATAATTGTATCATTCAACAACTTCGATCATTTTTCGAATCGCACTTAATATTCACTCTCGAAAGTGATATGGTCGTTTTCGAGGACAACATTTTTGTAGACAGCTGCTAGAATTTTATTTGAAATATTTCGATATTTCGGCATTTCGATTAAGAGTCTCAGTGTTGAATGATTAATTTGAGTATATATATATATATATATATATATATATATATATATATATATATATATATATATATATATATATATATATATATATATATATATATATATATATATATATATATATATATATATATATATATATATATATATATAAATATATATATTTTCAGTGTTCAATTGGGATTGCAGTCTTGGACAGGAAAATCAGTTACCTCTTTTAGTATTTTCCATACTTTCGAAAATGTTTTTCTCTTCTTCAGGGCTAAAATAGTACAAAAATTAAGAGTTCATATAGCAAGGCACTAAAGAAAATTTTCCTTACAATTACTATGAAGTTAGTCCGAAAGTACATTAGTTTTTTGAATTTTGAAAATAAGTACAAGTGTTCCCAAATGCATTTGATTGGAATATTTTTGCATTCTACGTGTTAGGTAGCCGAAGGAACCGACGACACTGACTGTATTTCTCAATTCCGCTTTTCAAGTGAAGTGTTCCAATATGTTTTGAGGGCGTTTCTTAAAATGCATAACGAAAAGAGAATGAATTTATTTTATGTATTAAGAATGGATTTTTCGGTGAATAGGATATCAGAATATGAGCCATTAATTAGATCTGATTCCATCTGATTTCAACCCAATGCATCTGGGAACACTGCATTTATACTTATTTTCAAAATTCAAAAAACTTACGTCCTTTCGGACTAAGTTCATTGTAATTGTAAGGAAAATTTTCTATAGTGCCTTGCTATATAAACTGTTAATTTTTGTACTATTTTAGCCCTGAAGAAGAAGATGAACATTTTCGAGAGCTTGGAAAATACTAAAGAGGTAGCTGATTTTTCTGTCCTAGACTGCAATCCCAATTGAACACTGAAAATACATATCTACAGTAGTGAAACATTCAACTATATATATATATATATATATATATATATATATATATATATATATATATATATATATATATATATATTGATATTCGATAATTCGATTTATTGCCTGTTTAAGATAGTTTATTTTGAATGGTTTTAGCAATTACAGGTTTTTTTTATTATTCAGTGAACCTACAGTTGAACGCTGGTTCCGAACGGCCATTTGTGCTTGTAATCGATGTACATTACCCAGCATATATCATCAATCGAAAACTACTTGAATCATAGACAAACACAAATACCCATGCCTTCAACGGGGCTCGAACCTGAGTTCGACTGCACCATGGTCGGGTGCAGTCGAACTCAGTTAGTCGGGTAAGCTACGGAGACCGACAATAGCAGGCTTCTTTTAATATAAAAACTCTATTTTCTTTGGCGTTTCGTTGTTTATCACAACTTTGTCAATACTAATGAATAATTGAATTTTATGAATTACTATAGATATCAAAATGTCAAACTTATTTTTTAGAAAAATCAAATCAGTTTTTTTGTACTTTCACATATTGATTCTCAGTATCAGAGAAATATTTCTGGCTTAGCATTCGCTTCTCAAGTTTAAGTCTTCTTCACCATGAAGAAACCTCTCAAAAACTCATGGTAAGTCAGGTGATTCTAATAGGTGTGATTTATATATACATATAATCATATATACAGTTGAGTTACATATATTTGAGTTTTGCACTTATCCAGATATGTATATTAATTGTTTTATGTGTGTGAAATTGAAGGTAGATCTGAAAAAAATGAGTTTTCAGTTGTGATGTTTTGGGGATTGTTGTGTATTAATTTTATGAGGGTTATTTGTAATGTTTATTAAATCGTTGTAAATAGAATCAAAATGTTTAATATATGTTCTTTCATTTACTGTGTTTTCCAAATTTCTACGAATGTGTAACATTTCCTAAACTTCTCTAAATTTTTTGTCCTTTTCAGTTCCTAAAATCTTTGTATTGTTATAATCAAATTATAATTAAATAATATAATGTTATTGCTGAAAACATTCAATATATATATATATTCTATATATATATATATATATATATATATATATATATATATATATATATATATAATGTTGTGCTAATGGCACTGAATGGAAGTATTTCATAGAATATATACTAGAATATCAATTCAAATTAAGCAAAATAATGTTGTAGTAGAGCTAGCAGTGGTGTGAACGTATACGATGTTATACCTAGATTATACTTCATGAATGTTTGGTTCTGATGCATCTTCGACCTGAAAGATGTTTTCCATTGATTCCTATGAATGGAAGTGATAATTCATTGATAATTAATTAAACGATTCATTACTTGACAGTTCTTCACCTGAAGTCATTAGAAAGTATTTGAAAATGACTTCGATGGACGTAGCACAACTGACGGGTCCTTGTAGAACGAAACAGCTTTCCTGTGCTTTCATCAGTTTCAATATTTTTCTCACATTTATTGCCTGAAGGATAATGGAGACATCACATCGTACACGTTCACACAGCTGGCTATACTCAAAGATTCATTCGATTAATTAGAATTTTTCGAACTATTGTTCGAATACATTTCATTAGAAAATATTCTGCATACAAAATGTAAATAGGAATTCTCATCTATATTAACAATTATCTTCTATAAATATCATTTCGCTTGTAGATGTTTGATTACCTAT